TAGTTTATTTATTGGTGTTCTTTGCCTAGCAGATATTAGGTAAATTTTCATTGGGGTAATAAATAGATTGTTTCAGAGCTAGTGCTACTGAGATTAATTTCATTTCAATTACATGCCACTATTGTGAATTAAAAGTTTTTGTGTGTTCTACCAAGAATATGTAAAAAGTACATTTCAGAAAATCTTGCTTAGGATCACTTAAGCCTCGTTGGATTCAGAATCATTTTGTAGAAATTGGCAGTTTTAATTATGGAATATGAAATTTGGAGTAAGGAGAGGACTTATAGACTGCCTGTTCAAATGCCCTCACTTTTCAAAGAGAAAGCACGATGCCAAAGAGTCAATTACTCAAGCTAATACAGGTAGTTTGCAACAGAACTATTCCCAGTCTGTAAACTAAAATTCATTGATTTTACCTCCAATATATCTTTTGAATTTCTCCCCTTCTTTTCTATCTCCAGTGCTCTTACCCTAGTTCAGGCTCATGATCTCTCACTTGATATCTACTGTACTACATCTAATTGGTCTCTACACATTCCCTCATTTAGAAACCGTGTCTGATCATAATTATTTATCCCCCTTGCTTAAAATCCTTCAGAGATGTCTCACTGGTCTCAGGAAAAGTCTAGTCCTTTATTCTGTAAAGCCCTAACTGATTGGGCCCGTACTTGTCTTTCTGACCTTAACTGCCACAGTTGTCCTCCTTGTTCCCTGGACTCCCGTCACACAGACCTTCTTTTCAGTTCCTCAAATGTACCATGCCACTTTCTTTCTATAGCTTCTTGTTATATGCGGTTCCTGCTGCTTGGAATGCTTCTACTGCTTTAGCAAATGCCTACTTATCCTTCAGCTTTCATCGCAAATGACACCTCTTCAGAGACTCCCACACCTTCCCTTCCCCCAGTCCTTGCAGACTAGATAAGGTCCCAACTGCTGTTTTTCCTCATCTTTGCTTTTTCTTCAACACCCATCCTACCATTTATTTGCATGATTATTTGATTAAAGTATTTTCCTCAAGTAGAGTGTAATCTCTGGAGGCAGAGTTTATGTGTATTTTGCTTATTATTGTATCCCTACACCTTCCACGTTGCCTGTTGCATAAGAAGGATTCAGTATTTGTTGAATGAATGACTCCCAATTTAGCTCTATTTCTACTACACCAATGATTTTAGAGTAACTTTTTTATCTTTGAAGTCTTCTTTGCCATATGCTTTATATAATTCATTCGTCCATCTGTTGATGAAATAGCATCTGAAAAAAATATAATTTCAAGTTAGTTATGCCCAGTTTGTAAATCACACTCTTAAAAAGCAAACAAACAACAAAATACCAAAAACAAAACCCCACCTTTATATTTAGAAGTATTAAACCAATAGTGCTAAATAGTCTTTCTGTATTTGATGGAGCCTAGCCACATATTTAATTTTTATTTGTCATCTCTCTCATTTATAAGTAGAAGAAACTAAAAAGTCACAGAAACTATTGTGTATGGAATATAATTAAAATACAAAGATGTGGTGGTGATATTAAAGTTAGTTCCTCTCAAACTAGTGTTTCACAGAAAACATTCCTGGAGATTTAAATAGATATTCTCTACCCCCTTCTTCCTCTTCCCCCTGTCATTTCTCCCTGAATCTCTAAGAAAGATTGTATTCCTATAAATAACTTTGAGAAACAATATACTACATCTCCTTCTTATAGAGTAACAATATACATTAGCATGGTAAAGCTTCTTTTGTCTTAAAGCAGAGTTTCTCAACCTTGGCACTGTTGTTGGCATTTTGGACTAGACAAATCTTTGGGGGTGGAGGATGCAGAGGAATTGCTGTCCTGGGCATTGTAGGATATTTAGCAGCATCCCTGGCCCCTCTACCTGTTAGGTTTTAGTAACACCCTCCTATTTGTCCAGTTATGACAACCAAAAATGTCTCCAGACATTGCCAGATGTACCCTGGGAGGCAAACTCACCCAAGATTGAGAATTACTATCTTAAAAAATTCAGCTTAACTCTGTTTATACTCATATTTCTCAAATTTATTTGAGGATAGAATTCTCCTCCTTCATTCACATACCTAATTTCCTGGGAAATGCAATTTTAAATGATCACTTAACAAAACTGAAACTAATTCTACTATTTAGACTCTTCTCTTTAAAACCCATCAGTACTTTCTGTTGCATTTAGAATAAAATTCAAACTCCTTAACGTGGCCTTTGTGCATGAAATGGCCTTTGCCTACCTCTGTAACCTCACTTCCTATCACCACCTGCTGTCAGTCACATCATGAGCATTTTTCAGTTCCTCAAGATACCCCACTTTCTTTTCTAACGTGTTGTTCCCTCTATTGGGAACTATTTTGTCCTTCCTGTTTCTTATCCTTTAGGTTCAGATCTCAGATTAAATGTCATTACCTAAGGAGAGGTCTCTTCTGATCATTTCTTACCCTGCAAGAAAGGATACTCATTCATCCCAGTACTTATTCTATTTCATCACCCTATTTGTTGCCTCCATACACTTTTTACAGTTTGTAATTCTTTGTTTACTTGTGTGGGTTTCTTTCTGCCTCAGTCACTAGAATGGAAACTCTGTGAGGGCTGGAGCCATTCTTGCTATCTTATTCATATCCCCAGCATTTAACACAGAGCCTAGCATTAATAGGCACAATAATTATTTGTGTAATAAATAATGACTGTGCTTTAAATTAACAGTGTTCCTGTTATAAGGTTAAACTTGGAATTTCCCAGGCCAGCTGCCAAATAAATATTTATATGAATGAATGAATGAATGAATGAATGAATGAATGAATGAATGAATGAATGAATGAATGAATGAATGAATGAATGAATGAATGAATGAATGAATGAATGAATGAATGAATGAATGAATGAATGAATGAATGAATGAATGAATGAATGAATGAATGAATGAATGAATGAATGAATGAATGAATGAATGAATGAATGAATGAATGAATGAATGAATGAATGAATGAATGAATGAATGAATGAATGAATGAATGAATGAATGAATGAATGAATGAATGAATGAATGAATGAATGAATGAATGAATGAATGAATGAATGAATGAATGAATGAATGAATGAATGAATGAATGAATGAATGAGTGAATGGACTGGTCAGATCTCGCAGGATAGATGATAGATAGATAGATAGATAGATAGATAGATAGATAGATAGATAGATAGATAGATAGATAGATAGATAGATAGGTAGATAGGTGGGTAGGTAGGTAGGTAGGTAGATAGGTAGATAGATGAATAGATAGATAATTGATGGATGGATGGATGGATGGATGGATGGATGGATGGATGGATGGATGGATGGATGGATGGATGGATGGATGGATGGATGGATGGATGGATGGATGGATGGATGGATGGATGGATAGATGGTTAGGTGGGCCGGTTGGCTCAGTTGGTTAGAGTGCGGTGTTGTGACATCAAGGTCAAGGGTTCAGAGCCCCATACTGGCCAGCCACCAGAAAAAGCATAACAAAAAATAATTTCTTTTGCACATCTATTCTTGCTGCTTTATTTATAGTTTCTTTCCTCTTTTCCCTCTATTAGCTATTATTTCTCAGTGTTGCTGTAACCTTTCTCTACCTTCTTCTGATTTGTGGCTATTAAGTTATATATGAACTATGAAAACAGATTATAGACTGCTGGTTTTTTAAATAAAACAGTTTCTAAAGCAAGGAAATGCAGAGTTCATAGGAGACTGATTCATGCTTATGCTTTAATACATAAAGTTTATTACATATGTTTTAGTTTATGAGAAGCCTGATATTTTTGTTTCTAAGTTATTAGTTAATATTTTCATATAGTTGATGTTGCTGAATATGCAGCCTCTATATAAACATTAATATATGCTAACCTCATACTGGCCATCCACCAAAAAAAAAAAAAAAAAGAATTATTTTAAGAACAGAAGCTATGTTTAAATCATATTGCTGAACAACTTTATTTCTATCACTTTATGTTAATGAATGTTGTTTGTTAATAGGGAAGCAAAGTAAATATGACCAAGTTCATGTTTTGCTTTTGGGTTTTTCCCCATAACAATAAAGAATAAAATAAAAATGAAAAAAAAAAAAAGGTAGGTGATTAAGTACAATAAGCTTTTATTCTTCTTATTTTAAATCAGCTATAGCTAGATGCTATTATAAGAGCAGCATCTGTTACCATGGAGCTTCCTTAACTCAAGGTCATCTTTTAAAAAATCTGTGACCTGCTTTATGCTTTGAAAAAATAATTCTCAGTGGCCTAGGGTAGCTACAGCCTTTATTGTGCCTAAGTTGCTGACCTTACATAAGGAATTTAGACTGGCCATCTCTTTTTTATTGCAAAATCAATAGAGTATCCTGCATTATCTGCTTAGGTCAAAAGCATATGAAATAGAAAAGTAGGTATGTACAAATAAAAGATTTGTGTAATGTTAATTTTTTTTAACATTTGTGTTATTCAAATTAAATGAATAAATTTGACATGCTTCTTAGAACTTTATTTTAAACTTTTTGTTTTTCTTTAAAATATCTCTAGTGCTATGAATTTGTATGTACATATGTGTGTTGCATATTATTTAGAGAAATACCTTTTCCCTTATTCTTACATAGCTGGATTATTTAAGGGTTTCTGGGATTGTACTAAGATTTAGGGCACCTGGGGGACAGAAAGGAACCTACATCTTTTCTACACATTTCAATTTTAGAGTACCCCAAAGATCCAGAAATAGGATAGTTCTGTATTATGATTAGCACCTGGAGAGTCTAGTCAGATCTTGGGCAGGAAACATACCTTTTTAGGCTTGAGAGTCCTGAAGCTATGGAATTCAGTGGATTGATATGTTATATGACAGAACTCACAAAGTGGATCCAGCCTGCAGAAACATATATTATTGGCCCACACAGCATTTTTAAAATATCAGGATTTATGACTTCTCCTGAAAAACTGGAAGGTCTGAAAGCTGGGCTCCATATCACCACATGGCAACAACTAGTCAGACATATGCTTTCCAGTTTGCCAGAATCCATACCTCTCCTTACCAGGAAGGTATTAGTTGCCATTCATCACCACACTTGCATAGTCTTCTACCTGCTCAACTCACTTATGTTACCTACACAGCACCTGAAGGTTTGGAACATCTAATTTACATTTATCAGTCCACACTTCTTTCCCTGTGCCTGGTGAAGCTAAAGTAAAAATGAGTAAATAGCAATTTAACATAGAACAAAGTCAACTTTTTCCAGAAACATATTGCATATTCATGTCTTCATACCTTTGCTGTTGCATTTTTTCCCCTGAAATGTTTACTTCCTTGCTGAATACTACTCAGCTCAATTCCCAGCATCTTCAATCTTCCTTAATCAATTCTGTCTATAGTAGTTTCTTCCTCTTCTGAAGTCTTAGAATGCTTATTTTCTCCAATATTATAAATGTATTACAATAGAGATATAGTGTCTCATTTAATTAAAGAAGGTTGTGTTCCTAAGAAGCCTTTAACTAATCTTAATATGGCTCACAATTCATTTTTTCAGAGAGATACGTAATAGTTGTCATTTTGAAGACTGAGAAAACAATCATAATTTTTATTTCCCTAGTTTTTGGAATTGGCTTTTGGGCATTAAGTTTAAATATTGTTTTCTTTGCCTTTCAGTTACAGATGAGGACACAGTAAAGAGGTATTTTGCCAAGTTTGAAGAAAAATTTTTCCAAACCTGTGAAAAGGAACTTGCCAAAATCAACACATTTTATTCAGGTGAGTAGTCACAGAGACAATTTCTGCTGCTAGGGAGGGAGAAGTTCTACCATATCATTGTTTAAACTTCTTATCAACATTTTTGAATTTAACTTGTTTTCCTTGCTATATCGCACTTAAGGGATATTATCTGTAGCTGGGATAGGAACGCATCTGTTAATTCAGTGTTTAAGCTTTATGTGGACATTGCATAGATTCTCTTGCAGTTACAAGGATTTGGGGGCCTCATTGTGTACCTTGGTAGAGTTTCACCATGACCAAAATTTTAAAAAGCCAGAAACTTGATTTTATCTTTTCGCCCAGAGCTGAATTACACAGTTCCAGCTTATTATGTAAGTCAGTTTTGTGCTTTCTATTGCCTAGAACCACTCATATCTGTCTCTCTAGAGTACTGTTCTCCAGAGTGGCATCTACAAGATGCCATTGGAATGTGAGAAGAAAATATTAGAATTTCTATTTATTTATGTCTGACCCATTTAAATTTATTTTTTTACATATGTATGTCATAAAGTACATAATATATATTAGTAAAATAATGTCCTTATGATGAAAAATTTTGGAAACCCTGCTTTAGATATCAAGATTCCTGTGAAACCTAGTTGATAATCAGAAGTTTCATGACTATAGAATCAGAACAAAGTGAGTTAGACGCAGGAGGACATTTCACCAGACTATGGAAAAACCTTACACGTAATTTCTTTTATACTGATGAATTTATAACCTAATAACTGGAATACCTATTGGATGTAATGTATCTATTCCTTGAGCTTTATGGATAAGTGAAAAATTCTACTCTATACTTTTATTTAATATCAAATATTTAATATAAAATTACTCTATATTTTTCCTTTTCATATTTAATCTGCAAATTACATTCCTGCTATTGTTATTAAATTAGACAAGATTTTAATTTTTTTAATATCAGCCATGGTTATTGAGAATATATTCTTATCTCTTGGAGAAGACATTGAACTACCATAATCTTATAACCAAATACTTGTGTGAGTTGGTATAAGGGTGAATAATCATAAACCAAATACTATCATGGGTCAGTCTAAGGATAAATAGTTACATGACTTTACTAGCTTTTTTTTTCAGAAGACAGTTCTTTTCCTAGCTTGTCCACAACCTCTGGAAGAATCTTACTCTGGTGTCTTTTCTCAGCAGCCCTCTCAAGTAGAGGCTGGTCATTCTTTTTTATGGCACACCAGGAGATGAGAGATGGAGAGAGGTAAGAGGAGTAAATAAGAAGGAGCTGCCAGAAGACAAGGGGCTGAGTTTAGCGTTCTCTTATCTACCATTGTTCTTCCAAATCAGTATTTCTACATATTCCTGTAAAAGTGGATCTTCTTCTAAGCATCCAGTATTTTATAGAGCATTCTACTCTCTGCTGCTCCCATTTGTTTGTATCTACTGACTTCTTGGTTGTTAATTGAGGACTTAGACTCCTGGCTCCCTATGTAAATCTCTGTCTTAATTTTTTTATATCACCTTGGATTACTTTATCATCCTTGTGAACAATCCACTTTTAGTTCTGTTCTACTTTGGCCACATACTCCCATGGCCATACCCATCACCAGAATTGTTCTCCTATAAAATATTAAACACTAATTAACAGTCTATGACCATATCTCCCTCACTTTTTACTCTTTCACTCCTTTAACATCTGTTTTTCCATCTCACAGAGCTCATGTTCCTTGACTCCCTCATTTTATTCCAGTCAATCATCCCCTCCCAGAATTACTTTATTCTCCATCAATCATTTTAAACATTCTGTCACCTGTATTTTTAATTCTTTTACTCTCATTATCTTATATTGCTTCTGCCTAGTAAAACTTGATCAATCTAGCCTTTACCGTCTTCATGCCTACCCCCGGGACTGCTTAGGACAACAGAACAAATTGGAACCACTATAAATTCAATGTTGCACCCTTAACTCTGTCCTCAAAGCTGCCTGTGGGTCCTAATCAATGATTTTTCCATGCTCCAAAGTGCTTTTCTAAACCTTATACCATTCTCCTGAATTCTCTAACCCACCATCTTCCCTGTTATGCTTATTATACCCCCTACTTTACAAATAAAAATAAAGGCCATCAACTCTTGTTGAGTATAATACCATGCAGATCTGTGCCACCCCTCTCCCAATACCTACAGACATTCTCATCCTTATTTATTTTCCTCCAATCTTTGTTGAAGAGATATCCCTCTTTGTTCCATGGCAAATCACTACAACTACTGACTGAATTTCAACTCCTCAAGACCTTGCTCCAGTAATTATTTCCTCTAAGAATTATTGAATAAATGTATTTAACTTCCCTTTTTACTGGTTCAGTCTCCTTAGCAAGTCACTTCCCTCAAACAATAAACAAGCAAGCAAATTTCTCAACTCTGTATCCTCCCCCTCATCTTTCATTTATGGCTGGACTTCTTCCTATGCCGAGGAGACAGTTTATGCAAAGGCAGAGAGCCATGAAAGGGCATGGTATATATGCATGTCTTTTTCACTAGGTTACAAGCATCTAGAAGGCAGAGGAAAATAAAAATATTATTTGAAACCATGCAAGCGAATCAATTTTCTGCAAGGGAAAATGTACAGAAGGAACTGCAGTGTTCCAAAGAGAGATAATTTTCACACTTAGGAGGTAGAAGAACAATGAGGAATCAGCAGTGTAGACAGAGAAGGAGCCAGCAACCATGTAGTAGTAGGAGGAGACTAAAAGAGAATGGCATTTGCAATGGAAAGAGTGTTTAGATTGAGAAAAGGCTATTTGAAATTATCTAACGCTGTAAATGAAAATATGTAAGATTAAGTTTACTAGCATATTTCTTTAATTATGATGTTTTTTGGAAGGATCACTGAGCCCAACTCTACATGGATGATTTCTATCACAAAGAATAGATAATGCTTCCTGGTTTACAAAGAAAAATACATATCTACTCTTAGCAGTAGATGCTTTTTATATTTTGAGTTACAGTAACAAAAAATAGATTTCCATTATGACCCAGTACACATATAAAGATATGCATATTTTATGTATGTTTGAATGCATCTATATGTGTGTGAATATGCAATATATTTAAATAATTTAAAATATTTTTTTAAAACAATACTTATCCTCACTACTTGTAATATATTGTTTTCTATATGTTATTTGTTTGATTTTTTTTTTTGTCTTTTTTCCGTGTCCGGCAACGGATCGCAACCCTCAGTGTCGCCCCCGTACCGGACCGGGACCGGCAACGGGATCGCAACCCTCGGCGTTGCCCCCGCGCCTCGCTCAGCCAGTGAGCGGGAACCGGTCTGTATGTGGGATCCGAACCCTCGGCGGGAGCGCCTCCACGCTTCCCAAGCAGCGCACTAGCGCAGTGCGCCACCGGGCCGGCCCTTATTTGTTTGATTTTTTAAACGCTGATTATGACCTATTAATTGGTTTTATTACCCCATATTGGGTTGCAGCCCTCAATTTGAAAAATATCTTAGATTAAGTTACTTCTCAAAAATAATTTTAAGCTGGCTACTATTAAAAATTTGGGTGCTATGACTTAATCATTTCCTTTTTCTGTGTGTATTGGGAGGGTCATTGGGGCATGTCTCTTGATGTCATCACAGAGTAGGTTCAAATTGATAGTCTCCAGATTGACTTGCCTGGTCAGGAATTGATGGGTAATATGAAGATATGATTGACAGAAATAGAATTTGGCAGTAGTCTTAGACAGTATTGTTTTTCTCCTTATTTAGCACCTTCTCCACAGCAGATTGTCTTGTAGAGTGCAATCCTCAGACACTGGGGCATGTGAAAAACTATGAGGGTACTTCAGAAAGTTTGTGAAAAAATAGAATTAAAAAATAATATGAATCTTCCCGTGAACATTTTGAAGACCTCTTGTATAAAACGGGGGTGAGTTCAGCTTATTAACCTACCTTCACCCAGTTACATCTCACAAATTATTTAACATTCAACTAAACATGGTCAGTTTTTAAGTGACATGTATTTTTAACTGAAACCTTTAAATGCCCCAAATTGCTATAATATTTTATTGTGTCTATTTCTAATCACACCAAAAAATCCAAAAAAAAAAAAAGAACATAGAATGAATGCTACTAAAATTTGGATTTTTAAAAATACCAATTCTGTTGTCTACCAATTACATTTTGAGTTTTTGTACTTTTTTTTTTTTTCTCCAGTAGTTTATTCTTTTTAGACCTCCTTGCACTTGCTTGTAAATGAGCAAATTGATTCTCAGCCCTCTAGGTGTCTACATGTCAGGAGTTAGAAGCTACTTTCAGTATTCAGAAAACCTGATGTTAAGTTATTTTATTATGTATCTTTGGTTAATAAGAAATGAACATTTATTTGGATTTATAGGTAAAAAATCCTTTGGCATTTGAAGACCATGGGAGGAGAAGGGAATTTTGAAAAAGAAGGGTCCTTTGTGGTGGAAACTGCTAATCCCTGACCTCCTAAGGTCTAACACTAAAAATGGTATCAATCCTGACGGGTATAGTATTAGAAACCTTCTTTTTTGTGGTGATCAATAATGTCATTCTGTAGTGGACAACTGATCCAACTGATTGCTTTATGTTACATCTTTCTCTTTTCCCAAACCAGTTTGCCTTTACTCTTCATTCAAATATGTTGCTTCTAAGCAATGTTTGTTATGTGCCTACTTTAAAAAAAAAAAAAAAGTCTCAGAATATATCTGTGGCTTTTAATATTCCACAAAACAGGCAAGCCCCTTTTATTAGTTGGAATATTTTAAATAGCTAAGTGCTTTTTCTTCATTTCTAAATATTATTCTAGCTTTTTCTGGCCTCTCCTAGTTTTTCAGCTTCAGTTATTATGTTGGGAACTCACAGCAGTTTATGTGCTTTTCCTTTCTTTACTAAAAAGGAAGGGAGGGAGGTGTGTTTTATAAGGAGGATAATTATGACCATAGAAGCAGATTTATTTCTTGGCTGTAAAGTATTTTCTAGTTTTGTATAAATGCAAGATTGACTG